TTTTCCAACTCTAAGATGGAGAAAAGTTTGTGTGAATCCAATGCATGCTAATTTTCTGCAGGCTGAAGAGTAAGTACCTTGCTGAGGCTTTTGGAAAAGTGTTCTCCGTTCCTAAAGGGAAGTGCCCTCCCATCTGGCCACATTCAATATAAAATCTGATGCATTGCACAGAGTGTCAAATCCTTTCAATTCTGTTCACAGAACAGTACAGCTCTCTTCCCTTCCTACTCTTGAAATAAACTCAACTATGCCAAGCAGATGACTCATGATAAATGATTCATTCTTCCAGCAAAACAAATATCATGAGCAAATCTTGTGATTCTTATAAGCTCAAATCTAGTCACAAAACTAGCATTATTCCCTTTAATTAATAATTGAATTGATTTAATTAACATTGGCATCTTTAAATCTTCTGTACATGGTAGTAAAAATATTACTAAGAAAAATAATGAGTATTTGGGTTTGCATGAGAAGATAGCCATAGTTTGGATTTTGAATTCCTTAAAGGCTTAGGAAGGAAAGGTTAGGCATTCAATAACATAACACTGATGGAAGACAGTTAAACTCTTAGGAGGAGGTTGTTCAGGAAAGAATTTAGGCAATTATAGCATGATTTTGAAGTTGGTGTTGGAACTCTGGTCCAACACTATTTCTGCTTTCCTGACATTTCTTAAGCCATCTTATAAACATATTCATAAACAATTGTAAGCCAAAGTATGGTTGTCTGAGGAATCACAAAATATCTCCTTTTAATTAGAAAATTGCATAAAAACCACAAATTAGCATCATTTTATCTATGCACTACCTCACCAGTGTGCCTTATGGGAACAAAAATATTTCCTACTTCAGGAAAAGTGGAAATGACAGAGATGTTCTCCAAAGCCTCCTTAGTAGTTATGAATCAGCCATCAGTTAACTCAATCAATTTGATGAACTAGCCTGGGTACAGCAGAATAGGTTATCTGCCTAATGGTAAATAGTAAAAGTCCTGAGGACAAAGGTACAGCAATGCTACTCACCATTAGAGTGCGTACCACACTGCTATGAGACTCCGGGATGGGACTTCATGTTCACTGTGGAAATGTACTTTACCTAATCAGTTTTGCACTGGCCCAGGAGAAAATCCCAAATATAAATCTACTGCTCCTCAATATCTGTCAATGGTTTTCTTTTCCATGTCATTCAGGAACAGGGGTTTCACTATTATAGTTCTAATTCTTGACTGATGTAATGGGGATATTTGAGTTTTAGATTACTAACTGCAGAAAGACATGTTAAAGGAGCTCCTTTTCTTTTCCCCAATGGCCATTGTGAATATTCATTTTGAGGCCCCATGCATTAAGAAGTATGTTAGGTGATCAGAGATGTAATGGATAGTAAATTCTAAAGATACATTCGAAGACAGCAATTTCTTCAAGATGCTCCATCAATAAATGCTTCTGTGGTCAAATAACTTTTGAAGTCGCTACATACATTTCTGTTATTAGACATCTGCAAAATGGGTAAGTGTATTTCTGACTCTGTGAAGGACAGTGGTAAATAGTTACTTATAGCTTTGCACCTAGTGTGTAAACTTGACCATGAAAGTCATTTTCCAAAGAGTCAGTAACATTATGCTATTAAGGCTTGACCCACACTTCTAGATACACAAATAAAAGTCATCTGGAACAATTATTTTTGAAGTGATAAACCTAGAAATACCCAATATATAGTATTATATATACCCAATACATGCTATGGAAATCGTATGGAACTCTGATATACAACACCATCCATATAGGATGTATACAATCCTGGAGATATCATGGCTCCTTTTCTGATTAGTATCCTTTCTATTGAATATGGTTAGTAATTCTTTTTCCAAAGTTTTGAGATATTTCTATCATTATGTATACATTACTGTTAAGACAGTATTTAACATAAGGGGAATTTTGTATTTCTATTATAAAAACTAAATTGAAATAGTTAAAAATTACATGGTTTACATATGAAAATAGCTTCATATTCAAAACCACAGTAATAGATCCTCATTAGAGCTACCTTTTCCCTTTTTAAGAAACAAGTAAGATCATGATATTTATTTACTTGACTAAACTTCAAACCTAACTAAGATAGAAGCTGTGTCTGGATTTGAATCTGTGCAGTCTCTTTGACAGAGCTCCTAAAACATAATTTATCTTATATATGGTTGTGCAAATACCCCATTAACTTGACTTATTCCCCATAACACAGAACCAAGCTATTCCATGATGTGATTTGTAGATATTACTCAAGACATTATTAGAGAGCTCTGCACTCTTTGCCGAATGCTTTAGCCCCTCAGCAATCTTGTTATTCAATTCCAACTTGTAAGGATAAATGAATAAAAAGGACTTTAGAGAATCTTCTTTCTGACAGACTTAAGTAAGTATGCTGGCGTTTGAATGAGGGTGCAGACTGAAATCATGATTCAGAAATATTTGACAACATCCATCAAGCATTTTTCCACACTTCAAACTATAACAAAGGATCATAGGACAATAGGATCATGTTAAAAAGTCAAGCTACTAGTGTGATGATTTGCATTTTGGAAAATATTAGAGTGAATTTTTCAAATTTGATGATTTTAATATTCCTGTGAAGGTGTGGAATATACTTTAAGAATATTAATTTGTAATTATCAACATTTTACAACAATTTCTTTTTCATTCAAGTTTTTTGCATAAGATATCTTTTCTACCAAAAGTTTCAGGAAAACCTTTCAAAAAAATATCACAGTGCTTTCCCATTAGTCTTGAATGATCCAGCTGATTCGTCCATAAACTCATGAATAGACTGACATCATCTGCAACAGTCAGCTTGGGTTCTATCATGTTATAACAAAAGTTGCAATCTATAAATGATTAGACACAGCAGTTTGGTTATTTTTTTCAGTCTATCCTATGTTTAGCTTTTCTACACAATTGTTCTCCAAATATCTGCTTACACCAAGGCCATTTAATTCTAGACATTATGCTATGTCAATACAACGTCATCTTATTCATCACAGTGAGATGCACAAAACCCCTCTTCACAGGTACTGAGCAGGTATTAAGCATTGTTAGAATTTGTTAAGATTGGTGTTAATGATAACTTCTGTAAGGTTAGGCTGTAAGAACAACTTCTTGTGCTCATTTTGGAATAAACAACAAAGGCACTGGGGATGGGACAATTTAACTCTCTAAGTAGCAGGTGTTGGATTCTCCCTCTAGCTGACACTATTTAGAACAAGAGTCCAGGTGGGTAGTTTGTTGGGTCTTCTGTAGCAGGAATCTTAGAAGGCCTTATTAATTAAATCAAACCTGGAGCCAGGTATGGGGGTGAATGCTGGAAGATCAGAGAAGCAGAACAAGCCACAGCTTCCTCACCTTGCCAGTCCCTCAGCTGATCCTGTTTCCTCAGACTGGAAGCCTCTGAGTCCTCATATCCGAATGGATCTCAGCTGAACTGCTGCTAGAAGCCTAAAAGCTTAACCAGCCAAATGCTTCTAGTTTCTGGTCATGCCTTATATATCTTTCTCTTTGTGCCATCACTCCCTGGGATTAAAGGCTCACTTCTTGGCATTAAAGGCGTATGTCACCATGCCTGGTTGTTTCCAATGTGGCCTTGAACTCACAGAGAGGAATTTCTGCCTCTGGAATGCTTGGATTAAAAGTGTATGCTACCACTGCCTAACCTCTATGTTTAATATTGTGGCTGTTCTGTCTCTGACCCCAGATAAGTTTATTAGCGTGCACAATATTTCGGGTAACACAATACCACCACAGTCTTCTATGACTGGTCCAAAACTGACTGATTGCTGCTAGAGTCAAGACTGTGACTGGACAAAGCAATAGCTGTGGTTGGTGAAAACACCACTTCTAGTCCATTTTATGAGGGACACTCAAGTTCACTTACTGCTACCTCTATTGCTGTTGTGACATTAGGTTCAGGAAAGACTTGCCCACTCTGACATTCCTTTTCCTGCTTTCAACAGTGCGGGATGAGCAGGTAACTGGAAGAAAGAAGCATCAGAGCACAGAGGACAGAAGTAGTGAGAATGGGGATGGTGGTAGGAACAGCTTGAGAGTTGGAAAGACCTACCAGGAACCTAGGCCAGACAGCATAGGATTGTGTTGCTACTGGGGAAAAACTGTCACCCATTCTGTGAAAGAATCTATACCATCCAGCAATGTCCTGCAACCAGCATGTTTCCTGACAACTGATACTACATAGCTAGTTTCTGATCCCTGGTCATGGCTTCCAAGATCCTAATGGCAGCAACCTTCACTCTACTGTAGAAGAAGCAAAGGACAGGAGCTGGGTGTAGCCTCTTGACAGCTCCATCGAAGCCTCAGATCAGCACCAGCAGTGCCCACAAGCCTGATCCCTATTCTGACAGAGACTGGAAAAATCTCATCTCCCACAGAGATCCCTCCCTCAGTAATTATTTGACTTAGGCTTGCCAATCTCACTAGAAGGAAGGCTGAAAGAAAGCATTTGGATCACCATAGCTTCTCTGGCATGCAAATGAATAATTGTTACATGAGTATTTGCTAAATGAATTAAATAATTATATGAAGTATTTGGTGTTCAGAAAACAATATATATGTATAACATACAACAAAAGGCTCAACTTATTAAAAAGACAAAACTAGGGTTTGCAACCTGATTTTCTGTATCTAAATTTCCTTTTTCTTTTCTTTCACCAAGTTTTCAAAAAGCTAAATTTGAAATGGAAAGGTCCTTGAAGGTTGTTGGAGGGACTTCAAGAAGAGATTTTTGAACTCCACCCCCTGTGGGGGGGTGTTAGGAGAGAGAGGAGACTGACTATCATCTGCTTAGCAGAGCTCACCATTCTCTGGGTCTAGAGATCTTAGGGTGTGTAAGCTAATTGCAGAGCAACCTCTGTGAACTCAAAAAAGGAAGAGTAACTGTTGTTAATGCCTGCCAAGGGAGCTTTCAAAGTTTCAAGACAAAACAAGTGTTTGCTTCCTGGCATCTATTGTCCCTCCACATTTATTTTCAGGCCATGGGGGACAGACAAGTCACATTGTTTTTATAATGAGTCACCCTTTCTAAAAACAGAACCCTATTTGCATGAACAATAGTTACAGGCCCAGCATGATAGTCAATAAGGCTGAAAACTAGCCTCAAGTGTGTCAATGGCTCTCTTCTGTTCCCTCTGGAGCACCTGAAAAGAGAGAACATTTCACTATAAGCCAGTCAATTACAAAGCACCGTTTCCTAAATACGGAGGTATATTCATCAGAAATAAAAGGAAAAGCAAAAACTAAAACAACACAAAGAATGCACATTATCTGAAAGTATACTTTCCAAATATACTCACAGTCAACATTTACATGGATATTCCTCTGAAGACAGATCTCTCTCAATAGCTTGTATCTTTACAAACCGACTGGCCATTTTCAACTGCAAAGCCCAAAGTAAAGCTGTATAATGCTGGAGACATAACCTCTGAGTTTGAATAGTATCTGTGCCACCAACCAGCTGGACCTTAGGCAATTCTTTAACACTCACTTTCTCCACTAGAAACTGTGTCAATATGTGTTTTGTTTTTAACAGCATTACAAAGATTTTAAAATTGGATACAGAATATGAAGTACCAGGTACTATGCCAGAAACACTCAGTCATTTATGAAAAGTGAACGCAGTGGGATATAGAGGATTATTACCTGATGAGAGCTTGGCATACACAACAGATAGGATAGAGAAAGATTCTTCTGAGGCACCCTGCAGTCAGAACTCCAAAGGGCCAAGACCTCCACTACCTTTTGATCACTGCTGATGGGCACTGTTGCTAAATTGGCTTTTAGACAACTCAGATGGTTGTACTTACTGAAAGTATCTGAAAGTCATTTTCCCAAAAGAAGAAAAATAGTACTGTACAAAGAGTTGCATTAGTGTAATAGGCTTGCATTATGATAGCTCCTCTGTGCTGTATGAAATCCTCTGAACCACAGTAGAAATGGAATGACATCATTAGCTTTATTTTACAGATTGTGAATTTAAGATTTAGTTTACGTGGTATGGGCAAGGACCCAAATGTACCCTGGTATCAGACATGATTCTAGACCTGATGATTCCAATTTGAAACCTTCATTCATCAGGCTGTGCTGTCTCATGAGGCATCCGGACCATCTGAAATAAAATTACTTTATTTGTGCTTGTGTGTATGTGTGTGTGTGTGTGTGTGTGTGTGTGTGTGTGTGTGTATGTATGTATGTAAATTGTGTGTGTCTATGTGTGCTTGTTCCTGTTTGTATAGGTTCATGTGTATAGATATGTATGAAGTTGTGTTGCATATGCACAGCCAAAAGACATCATCAATTATTATTTCTCAGGAACAACAATCTCCTTGTTTCTTGAGACCAGGTCTAACATTTATCTGGTACTCAAACAAGTTAAATGAGCTAACTGGCAGTCTTTAGGGATCTTCATGTTTCTCTTCCCCTGTACTGAGATTATAAATGCTTACCACCATGTGTAGTAGGGTTTTGTGGACTGCTAGCCCCTAAATCATGACACAAAGACTTATTATTAATTAGGAATACTTAGCCTTAGCTTTAGGCTTGTTTATAGCTAGTTTTTTTTTCTTTAACTTAAATTAACCCATATCTATTAAGCTATGTACTGCCCTGAGGCTCATTCACTTCATCTACATGCTGTCCATCCTGCTTTCCGGCTTGGCTGGCTCCTGACTGGCTGGCTGCTGGCTCCACCTATCCCTCCTCTGCCTAGCTATTGGCTTTTTATTAGACCAATCAGATGCCTTAGGCAGGCAAGATGAAACAGCAGCCTATGCTTACATAGTTAAACAATTATTCTGCAACATGAACAACTGCAAGGCATATTTACACAATTACACAAATATTCTATTCCACAACAACCATATCTGGCTTTTTTATTTTCTGGTATGGGCTCTGAAAATGAAACTCACGTAGTCACACTGGCATCCAAGTCCTTTACCAGGTGAGATATCTCTTTGGCCTTGCATTTAGTTTGATTCCTATGGTAATAATAACAATTTAAAACACATTTTATAATAATGTCTATTTGATAGGCAATGAGCTTATGATCTAGTGATCTGAAAGGACATAACCTCTGTTGATTGTCAGATAATGCATTTCTGAGTTGGTTTAAAGCATTAAAGATAATGTCAGAGGTACTAAAATGTGTCTGTGTCATGATAAGAAAACAAAGCACTTCCTCTTGGATCACTTTGACCAAAAGCAAATGAAAGCTCAAATTCTCTACTTCTTTCCCAGTGTCTTCCATCTGTCTATACCTCATGGGTTCTTGCCTGTCTGTAGTTTGTCTGTACTGTATTGATCCATACCTCTACCTGTTGTCTGACTGTCTGTGTCCTAAACAAAGAGCTTTTTCTCTGAATTTATTTAACAGTACAGAAAGAAACAAACAGGGAAAGAGCGAAGGATGCCTTTTTAGAAATCTTATAACAGTTATGTAGGGGATGTAATTACTGACTCCAACTGACCCAGATAAAAAGCAGTACTGCAAGCATGCAACTTATTAAGCAATATCTGTATGCTGTTTCTAGTACTTATGGTAGATATTTATCATACAAAGTCTATATTGACTTGTTCTCTATTTTCAGAAAATCATTATTATAATATACACATCCACACATACACATTACTCTGTGTCAGGGTAATGAAAGAGTACTAAATGTAAGATGACAGTTACACACTGCTTCAGTAGTTAGAGCTAATTACATGTGAAATCCAAGGCAAGCAAGGTTGGTTGTCACATTGTTCTCTTAAACGCATGTTAAAAAACAAAACAAAATCAACAACAGCAATAACAACAACTAAAATCAGACTGAGTAAACAGCTCCAGCTGTGTATATTGGACTATTGGGGCAGTTCTTAATTGACTTACAAGTATATTAGCTTTCCCATGAGGTCTAGCAAAAACTCTCATCCCTAAGAATATAGAAGATATTTACATAATAATGTATCACCTCACAGTAGATGTTAAAGCTCAGGATGACTTAGTACTTTGAACTTGCTGCAAATAAACCTATTTAAGAACTGTTGCTAAGAAAAACACAGTCACACGTGCATCTAAACAGCACATTCTTCAATGATCACATGCTTCCTGTGTTGTTTCAAATCTAAAAACAGACATGTTCCTTTTACCTATTTAAAAGTTAACCACAGAGTCAAAGAAAGAATACAGGAAAACAGTCCTTTTTAACTTTAATCAAGTATTCATTTTACTCTTTTCTCTTTCTTTGCTGATAATTATTTTTAAAATCTTTTCCCTCAGTTGTCAAACAATTTAAAGGATACACATACACACACACACACACACACACACACACACACAAGGTTCTGGACACTAACATATATATCTCAGATATATATCTCAGATAGTTTTCCCTGTGAGTTAGAGCACTAGGTCCCAAAAGACACCTCCATATCCTTACCGGATAAAGAACTTCTCCTGCTCATTCTGAAAGTTCTACTTGATATCCTTGGAGACTATTTTTGTGGGAAATCAAAATGACTGCCTTCATCACGATGAATGATTTTTGACTTAAGGAAAAAAAAAAGTAATTAAGTGACTCACACTACAATCACTCTAAATTAATCAAAAGAAGACAGACATTAATTCAGAGGGAGGAAAATCTATCAAAAACAAACCAAGTTAAACACAGTCGAATCATTAATATCCATTTCACAAGACTGAATGCCATTAGCTCTACTCAGTTAACAGCGCGGGACAATCATTTTCTCTTCCCTCTTCCACTGGTCCATGGAAAAACACTGCTTACTGAGTGTGTTTTCAAGCAACTTCATTTGCTTCTTATTAGCAGGGATTGACTAAAAGAGAAGAGTTTATTAAAATCAAAATTGTATTGGAAAATGTTTAAGCTTAAAACAAACTGATTTTATAGAGAGAGCTTATCAATGCTTTGTTTTGTTTCCTAATACCTGCATGCTTTTGGTAATCAACTTAAAAATGTTTAAATATATACTGAATGACCTACACCAGTCACCCACCCACTCAATTGAAACATATGGAGCAACTATGATTTAGTTAAAGAGAAGGATGAAGGTAAAATTAAAATATTATCATCACTCAAGTATAATATTGACATTATCAAGCAGAGATTCTTTTGCCCCTTCCCTCTCTCCATCTTAGCTCTTCTGTGTGGATATATGCTACACTAGAATGAAGCTTCAGGGATGTGTGTGTGTGTGTGTTTAATAAACTCAAATGTAATTCTAATGTATGTATGTAGTTCTGGAAACTGGGAGTCACAGATTCAAATTCAAGTTGCTATAGTATCCTAGTTTGGTGGTCAAACTATGAACTTTTCTAGAATTAGGACATGTGATTGCTAAAACAGTAAACTAATTCATGGCAAAAGTGGTGTAAAAATGTAAGTATGAAATCTAGTTACCATGTAATTAAAAAAATGTTCTTATAGTCACTGTTCTGCAAGGCTATGAAATTTTTCAGTAATAGCAATGATCATAATGGAAAATATCTAAGATCATGTTTGTTGGGAGGCAAAGAAAAAATAGAACAAGGCAGGGCTGAGAGAAACATTTACTGCTAAATATAAGACTATTTGTAATATTTATATGACTCATGGATTTGTATGTTTAGAATGTGCTATATAAGTTTATGTGTTTGTATGCATGGATGTGAGGTGGTGTGGGGGATCGGTGTATGCTCAGACATGTGCTTATGCATGTGGAGCCAGCCTTTGATGTCAGGAGTCTTCATCAACCACTGTCATCCTAATGTTTTTAGATAGATTCTCTCACTGAGCAGAAGTTGCTGATTCATCTAGATTGGCTGGCCATTTAGTCCCAGGAATTCTCCTGTCTCTGTAACCCAGTGCTGGGATACCAGGCAAGTGCTGAGACACTTGTGTTTTTTTAATATGGTTGCATGGACTCAAATTTACATCTTTTTGCTTTCATCCCAACTCTTCAATATTCTATATTTAAATATTTCTATGGAGAATTTATAGTGGGAAGAGAAAAGGATACTATTCATAATCCTTGTTGCAGGTAGAAAGAAATGTATATTCACATATGCATATATATGAATATTCATTATCCACATGCATATTACATTGTAAAAATATATATATTGCATATTTTAATTTAAAATTTTTACAGAAACAGCAACATTTCACAAGTAAAACTATACTGATTGTGGCAGAGAAGATATGTTCAGATATATGGACATTATCTGACTTTTGCAGGACAGAGGGAACTGGGTTCTCAGAATAGATCTTAAATAAAAGAACCTATGATGCAACTTTAACTCTAAGAATTTTATAATGAAGAGAGGCCCAGTGTTTTCCCTCTGGAGAGGGACCATGCATTTGCTATGGCTATTTAGAAAAAAGGTAAAGGTGATCTCTCTGCAGAGGCCTATCAGTATGTCTCAGAATATCTGAAGTTACTCCTACAAAGCCCTTCAGATTTTTTTTTCTGTGGCTGCCGTGGATGGTGAGGACTTCCTCTCCTATTACTATCCATGTTTCTGCAATCTCTGAGAGTGTTGTCCTCAAGAAATTCAGTTCCTCTACAAGACAATTTGTTTTACTAGCTGCTTGCACAAAGTGCTCTTTTTGCTTAAGACATCCTTGCTTCAGTCACTAGTAAGACTGACTCTCCTTCAGCAAAACAGGCAATGTTTTTTCCTCTTTAAAGTCTGGGCCATGCTCTTAAGAAGTGAATTTAGATTTTTTTCTCCCTTTATATTATGAGTTAGTGCATTATAGTGATCTGTTTACCCAACTACCATCTATATTAGATCTCTGTTTTTCAAAAACAGGGATGTTGTTTTGTCTTTGATTTTATGGCTCCAGGATCAGTGACTGTTCAGTAATAAGCACGTTATGAATAAATATGTTTGTTTCTTTTAAATGACCATTCTCTTAAATCTGTCAATATATTTTGTTGGGTTAAAAAGGCAATGTGTGCTGAAGCATAAAAACTCATATTACTGAGCATTTTTACTTTGGCAAGCATGAAGCTTCATTATTTATAAATGATAAACAGAAGTCTGAAGTTCAAAGACATGATAAGACTGTAACTCTAGACACTTCTATAGGCAAGAGCCAGGTTTCCATCTTGAGTCTGTCAACTAGTCCATTAGATGGAGTGAGAATTGATATAGGGTAGTGCACTCAACTCTCATGACACTCAGAAAAGAGCACCAATGAGGTGGTTCAGAGACACAAATGCTTTGGGTCTTTGAAGTTAATAAAATACAGTTAAACAGGACTCACCACATTACTGCTCATGGGATATATGCTTAACTTATCATAGAAAATGTAAATCCCCACTCTGTTTGACAAGGTCAAAGTAGTCTGGATCATAGAAAAGAAGCTGCTGCTCTGCTCTTTTTTTTTTTTTTTTGTAGAAAACTTCTAAAATAGAATTTTAAACTGAACCACAGCTATGATGATGCAAGGGGAATAATTATTTTTGTTAAATGTCACTAATAATTAGTGGGGACATTTTCAACTTTCACTAACCATAGGAATAATGTGACTAATATCTAAATAACAAAGACACTTACTCACCACTTCACTGATGACTTTTTAATCCACAGATGTGTGTCTTTCACGACTATTTTAAGAAGGAACATGTACTTAAAAAAAAAACAACACTGTCATGAACAACAATGAAAGAACCACATGGTTGGGTAAGACTATTCTTGAGTGGGTAGAAGAATGGGCTCTCTGAGATCATTAAAGGTGGAATTGGGACCACTCCTTTTTCTCTCCTTGCTTCTCCTTGTCTTCCTACACAGGGAGAGGAATGTCAAGTCATGCTCAAAAGCTGTGCTTGGCAATCTCAGATACTGTCAAACATAGAAAAGTTGTTCAGAACTCTGAAATACTGCAGCTGAAGCACTGGCCTGTGCTGGATTAGCCATCCTAAAAGCATATCTGTGTATTGTAGAAGCAAGTTAACTTTTGGAATAACAAAAAGGCAGAGGTGGCCAACCTGAATTGATTTCTGAGTCTTTAAATGGGGTTAGTGTCTATTCACATGCACAAGTGCCCTTGGACATATATATCTACATATACTACAAAGTTACCTTTTTAGATTCCCTAATTAGTTTACCATGACTTCGTGATACTAGTTCAAACAAGCTCTTGAGAAGGATAATTCTTGTTATCCAGAAAACTGGCTAGATGCTTACAAGTCTAGATGCTTATGTCTTCAGACATAGGCTTAGATTGCACATCTGGGTTCACACTAAAGAATATGGAAAGAATATAGTGTACTATGATTACTCTAAAGATCATCTGTCTGCCAGGAAATTTATCATATGAACTGTAAATCTAGAAAATAAGCAGAAACAGTAGAAAAATAGCATTAGCTTATCAAGGTTAATAAATGCTTAGAGATAAAAAACTTTGAGAGATAAAAATCTGAGGAAACTGTTGACCCAGACCAGTATATACTGTATAGGTACAGGCAAAAGGAAAAAAGATCAAGAAGAAGAGGTGCTGTTTAGCTTCCTCTGAAACTGGCAGATTAGCCCCTTCTGTTCTGCACACTAACTGGGTTTTTGTGTTTGATTTTGCTGTCGACACTGGAGGAAATATTTATGGAAGAGATGCACACAAGAAAGAATGTGGCACTCTGGAAGCATAAAGTTCAGAAATGTGTGGTCTCTTCAAGTTTGTATTTTCGGTCTACAAAGTAAAAAATAAGATGTTTTTCAGTGTTGAAGATGCAGTAGCTCAGTAGCTCAGATGACAACTCAGAAGGAATTGTGCCTGCTCATAGAAACACAAGAAGAGATAAGAGAGGGTGATAAAACATAGACACAGTATGGGAAAGAGAATTCTGCTAGGCATACTATCTTTCTGTGTTTATTGCATAAATTTGATAGATTTCATTATGCCAGACATTCCCTCTGCAGTTGATGGGACTATATAGAAAACCATATGACTGTAACTGTTTGGGGCTTACGTACTTTTTATTATCTATCCTTATACCTCCATTCTGTTGCTGGAGGCAAGCCATTAAAATTTCCATGGATTAATCACTTTCTGATTTCACCTATTTCCATAATTGTGAATGGAAAAGAGTATTTTCATTACTTAGGTGCTGCCTGAGTATATTAAAATATATGTGAATGAAACATTTATTTCTATTTTTGACTAATTTGTGGCTATACCTCAGGATATTGCATCCAGAGTATATAGAGAATGTGGAACATCACTACCCAGGACCTAAATGGAATTGAGGCTGTCATCCTTGTGAAGAGACAGTGTTCCCTATATGTGAAGGAAATGTTTGGTGAACATAATGAGTGGGGATTATGACATAAAATCTCATCTTGGACACACTGTAGATGTAACCAGCCGTCTTATTATATAAGAAACACAGAACCAATGCAAAGAAGAAAGCCAAGAGATCAGAGCTAAGAGCCTTACCGCCTGCTGCAGCTGGCCTCTTAAGCCAAGAGACCTCTCCGAAAGGGACCTACTTCCTGTGTGTTTGTCTTTATATAGTCTTTCTGTTCTGCCTTCTCATTGGTTGTAAACCCAAACACATGACAGCCTCATCACTGCCTGTATGTACAGACCTCCAGGTCTTCTATGGTATTGAGATTAAAGGCATGTGTCTCCAATCCTGGCTGTATCCTTGACCACACAGAGATCTACCTAGCTCTTCTACCAAGTGCTAGGATTAAAGGCATGCACCACAAACGCCCAGCTCTGCTATGGCTTGCTATTAGCTCTGACCCCCAAGCAACTTTATTTATTAACATACAAATAAAATCACATTTTAGTACAAATAAAATACCACCATAACACACAGAGACTAATTTCCTACACTTCTTTGAATCTCAGACATATACTTGATTTCCAGAAAATAAAATGTGGACATAAACTATCCATCACATTTTACACGTGCTCATGACAAATTTGTTCTGTGTTACTAGCCCCTTCCACAATGCCTAACACTTCTGGATTGGCCAAGCCAACATGAAATGAAAGCCAGAGACCTACAGATTGCTAGGGTTCTAGTTTAAATGTTGGGGGGAAAACTTTCAATGTATATAAGCCTGATATTAACTTCTGCTACGTCATGTTGCTAAAGTCCTAACACCTGTCACTCTAATATGGCCTTATATCAGCACCTTACAAATATGAATACACATACATGTCTTGTGATGGATGATTCAGTACGAGCATGGTGGTTTGAAAGAAAATGGCTCCCAAAGGGACTGACACTATTAGGTGTGGCCTTATTGGAGAAAGTGTTTCACTGTGGGGACAGGCTCTGAGGTCTCTTTTGCTCAAGTTTCCCTCAGTGTGACTGTCAGTCAACTTCCTTTTGCCTAAAAGATGTATGAGTCTCAACTCCTCAAGTTCCACATCTACCTACATGCCATTGCGCTCCCTACCATGATGATAATGGACTGAACCTTTGAAATTGTAAGCAAGACACACTAATTAAATGTTTTATTTGTAAGAGTTGCTGTGGTCATGGTGTGTCTTCACAGCAACAGAAAACCCTAACTAAGATAGACATTGGAGCCAGGGACTGGGGTATTGCTGTGATAGGCCTGACCATGTTTTTGTTTGGAGGAATTTGGACTTTTGTACTTTGTGTTTGGAAAACAGTGGAATGCTTTAAACACTGCTTAATGGGCCATGCTAGAAGGAGCATGGAAGACAGTGGTGCTGAATATAATTTGATGAACTGTGATGATCAAGAGGCTTCAAAGGAGAAGGATGTTAGTAAGTTGCCTAAAGACTAGTCTTGTGATATTTTGGTGGAAAAAAAAATGGCTGCCTTTTGCTCTTTTTTAAATAGTCTACCTGAAGCTAAATTGAATTTTGTATTGATTCCAGTGGCAGAGGAAATACCAAAAGAGCCTATTATAGATTCTGTCATTTGGCTTTTAGCGGTTACTGTAATGAAGATTTATAATGAAAAGGAGCAAGCTGAGCAGAGTAAATTACAAAATGAAAATTTTGAGGAGAAAAAGAGTACCAGGAAGTGAAATAGAGCTAAATTTAGTGTTCAATGGGATAAATGGATTAAGAAATAGGATAAAGGGGGTGGTGACCTCAAGGCAAGATATCACCCAGCTAAGTTTCCAGTTGTGAAAAGAAAAGAAAGAAATGCTTAGAGCCAAGTGTAGTAGGGCACACCTTTAATCCCAAAACTGGGAATGTAGAGACTAGGGGGTCTCTGAGTTTGAGGCCAGCCTTATCTACAGAGCAAATTTCAAGACAGCCAATCTTAAGCATGTAAGACAGAAAGCTGGTGAAGATGTAATTGAATCATGAAGTCACATTCCAGCCCCAACAAGCAGCAAAATTTGGCTTTAGTGGTTTTGGCTTTAGAGGTAAGAATAGAAGGAGTCATGGAATACAGCTGCTGAGGCCAGGCAGCTGCCAAGGATATTCCTGAATGGAGGCCTAGTGGAGAGGCCATTACATGAAGCTGTGAAGCTGAAGCCTGAATTGCCTTGGTGAACCCAATATGTTAGAGATGTCAGAGTTGTGGGATACCTGCTGAGGAGAGCTGCTAGCAAAGAGTGGAATTAGCCCAAGACTAAGGAGTGTGTTACAGTCAACAGAGCTGAACAGAGTTGGAGATCTGAAGAGCATTTGGACATCAGACTTGGAGCTTCAGAATTTGGAGTTTTCCCAGCTGTTTTTTCATACTTGCTTTTGTCCAGTATTTCTTTGCTGTGCTCCCTTCCCTGTGTTTTAGAATAGTAATATATATTCTGTGCCATTATATATTGGAGTATGTGAACTGCTTTTTTATTCTGATTTTTACAGGGGTATTACAACTAAAAGATTAACATGCATCTCAGAAGAGACTTTGGATTTTGGACTTTGAAACAAGTTTGAGACTGTTACAGACTATGGAGACATTTGAAGTTGGACTGAATGCATTTTTTTTTTGCATTATAATATGGTTATATAAGCTTTTGGGGGCCACAGTGTAAACTGTGGTGGTTTGAAAGAAAATGGCCCCCAAAGGGTATTGGAGAAATTATTTTGGCCACTCCACATAGTTAAAAGGATATTTATTTAATGGCATAACTCACGAATTAAGTGAAAGGTAGGTCGCAGGGTCTGGGGAAGGTGTATCACAGTCCAGTGGTGTTCTCCAGAGCTCTGCACAGTCTACCTTCACTGTTCAGGGTCCCGGCACAGAGAGAGCGCACAGAGTGAGAGCTGGCCCATCCAGCTCTCGGGTCTCCAGGCGCCTCCCCTCGCCCTGCCTCGTAAGCGTGACAGTTGCCAGAGTCTCAATGGGGGTTGGAACTTCCAGATCCAAGCTGGAATGGCTACCCACTACATCTCCCCCTTTTTGTCTAAATAAGAAGGTTCTAAACTAATACAAGACTATATACAAAGGAATGGTTATCAAATAT